TCTATCTGGCTGAGAAGTTCCAGACTCCAGACTTCTGGTACCCGGCCGACCTCCAGCGCCGCGCTCAGATCAATGAGTACCTGTCCTGGCAGCACACGGGCATCCGGATGTACGGGTCCAAGATGTTCTGGCTGCGGGTACGTTCACCATCAGAACCTGCACACCTTTTCTACTGGGTCGGCCATATTGGAACCGGATTCCTTTCATTTTAACTTTATATTTGATAGTTATTCCAACCAATTCATACCAAACCGAACAGAATCTGTCCAGCAGTGGATTCTGATTATATTTCAATGATTTCTATTAGTTTCACAGCAAGTCCAGCTGCATCTATAGAGGAAAAAAATCACTTGGAATCACAATCATGTTCAGATTTTAGACGGAGAGAACAGAGGGGAAGAAGTTCAGGGGAGGGAACGCCATTTTAGTTAAAAGAGGGAAAACCGAACAGATTTCAGCTCCTGTTTCTGTAATGTTCCACCCAATTAAACCTGTTGATATAATTTACTGTTGATGTTAAGACCAAACCTTCACTCTCATGGCAAGATAAATGATTCAATTCAACAGTCGTAGCAGACTGGTATCGGATTTTGGCCGATATGTTCAGTCCAGATATCGGATTGGATCAGAAAAAAATAGATATCAAATATCAGTGTTAAAATTGGACTCAGACGGGAATGTTTGTTTGCAGCTTATGCTTCCTAAGGTAATGGGTGTGGAAGTCCCAAAGGAGAAGATGGATGGAGCCCTGGAGGACCTGAACAACGCTCTGAACCTGATCGAAGAGAAGTTCCTCCAGGACCAGCCGTTCATCGGCGGAGACCACATGTCTCTGGCCGACCTGGTGGCCATCGTGGAGATCATGCAGGTGAGCTGAACTGCTCCAGACTCTAGATGTGTTTTCTTTTCTGCTCCGATACGCAGCGACCGGCTGATTATTCAGCTTCAGATAAAAACAAAACTCTGTGCAGCTTCATGTGACCGAAGCTCAGGGTTGGAGCTGATAAAACAAGCTGCAGCAGAACAAAAGAAGATTTCTCTGGAATGCGATTCAAACCATCAGTGAAGGCGGTTTCCTTCAGGACGCTGAGCTGTTTATCCAGAGCAACTGATACCAGCAGAGGATGTAACATCTTCATGTGATCTGGATGTTCTACAGACTTCCTGAAGGGCCTTCAAACTGCTGCTTTCCAGCTTCACAGCTCTGGGAAAGAAACAGTTTCCAATTGAGTTTAATAAATGTTCCTGGGCCATTTTGTCCTGATTGAAGTGGAACAAACGTGGCTTTATTCAGGTAGATGGGATCTGTAGCCGTTTATCTGGGATCTGTAGCCGTTTATCTGGGATCTGTAGCCGTTTATCTGGGATCTGTGGTCGTTTATATGGG